TGACAAAAATTTTAGTTTTTATTCTTAAACAACGGATTATAAACTTTGAAAAATAGATAATTATGTAAACAATAGAATAAAATCATAATGGTCCTTGGTATAGACCCTTTTCATCAAATTATTAATATCCGCCTAAAACTTTGTAAATATCTTCATCTCATCGTAACCTACAAATATTATATTTATGAAAATTCTCAGAATTGTGGCGTTTTCAATCTAGAGGTAGGCAAACGTTGTCTAGTTAATTAGGTATTAAAAATTCATGAATACCCAATTAACTTGAATCGCTAGATAATATGATCACAAAATCGTAAAAAAAAAAAGGTGACCTACAAAAATATTAAGGAGTTTGGCCTATATAACCTAGTTATTTTGACTTTTTCGTAGTGGAGGTCACGCTAAACGAACCAATATTTTTGTAGGCCACATTTTTTTTACGACTTTGAGATCATATTATTTTACGATTCAAGTGAAAAGCAAATGGGTATTTATGAGTTCTTAGTACCTAATTAAACAGACAAAATTTGTCTACCTCCAGATTGAAAACGCCCCAATTCTGAGAATTTTCATAAATAAAAAAGTTGTAGGTTATGATGAGGTGAAACTATTCCCGAAGTTTCAGGCGGATTTTAATAATTATATAAAAAGGGGCCTGTACCACGGGCTATAAAATATATGAACTAAAAGCATTTTGTAAAAACGGGGAAATGAATTTAAGTCGAAATAAAATTTTCGGAGTAATGTGACTCTTTATATAACCTCAATCGATTATTAAATAATTAATCCAAAATCACAATAAAAATTAATAATCAAAATAAGATCATTTATCATATATGTGTGAATTGAAGTTCTTAATGATTTAATTAAAAATTGTTCAATAATAAAAATCAAAATAATTTTGTGTGGATAGTGTTTCTTTTTTTCGTTTTCAATTTATATTGATTTTTTTACGCTTACAGATAGTTTATGAGATACTAAACGATATATTAAAATTATTTAGAGTAAAATTCAATGAACAACTAATTCTGTAGGACGTTGAAAGAACTATAAGAGAAGAACCCAGGACATGGAGTTGCGGACGAATAGTGATGTTCCCAAGGAACCAATATCGGCGGTAGCCCCTCTCAGGAAAATAGCCTAAGTTTTCCAAAAAGAATGTGTGTTTTCCGAACGGTTTTCTTCAAGTTGTCTTTCGAAAGAAAGTGATCCCCCCCCTCCCTCTCCCCACAATGACAGCTTTATTGGCGTAGTTTATCTCTAGTTAGTCCTTTCTATTTTCTACTATCCACTCGGTAAATGGGTAGTGAATGGTTCATTTAGCAAACAAGATATCATTTCATTATTTGATAGTAATAATAATAAAAGG